GTATTTGTGTGTGTGTGTGTGTGTGTGTGTGTGTGTATATATATATATATATATATATATATATATATATGGTAATTTGATCAATTTCACTCCCCAATACTTCCCCTACACTCTTCTCCCTCCCCCTATCAAAAAAAAAATACAGAGATTCCTTTTCTACTATCACGGCATCCTTTTTCTTCTGATTGGTTGTCTGTTTCCTTCTAACTTCTGCATACGAGAGAAAATATATGGTACATTTCTCACTGAGTCTTACTTATATTGCTCAAAATTATATTCTCCAGTTCCATCCATTGTCCTGCAAATGACATAATTTTATTCATCTTTATGGCTGAGTAATATTCCATTGTGTATATGTACCACATTTTCTTTATCTATTTATCTGTCAATGGACACCTAGGCTGATTCCATAACTTGACTATCGTGAATTGTACTGTGGTAAGCTTCTATCTGTAAGTATGCTGACTTTAAATCTTTTGAATAAATACCAAGGTGTGGTATATTTGGATCATATGATAGTTCTATCTTTAGCTTTTTGAGGAAACTTCAAATGGGTTTCCATTGTGGTTGTACTAACTTACACTCTCACCAAGAGTATGTAATAGTTCCCTTTCCTGCATGCTCCCCAGCATTTATTGTTATTTGAATTGTTGATGATTGCCATTATAACTGGAGTCAGAGAATTTCAGTGTAGTTTTAATGATAAAAATGAACAGTGTAAGCCAGGCATGGTGGCGCAAGCCTGTAATCCCAGTGTTCAGGAGGCTGACAGAAGGATCATGAGTTCAAAGCCAGCCTCAGCAACAACAAGGTGCTAAGCAACTCAGTGAGACCCTGTCTCTAAATAAAATACAAAATAGAGTTGGGGAGGTGGCTCAGTGGTCGAGTGCCCCCGAGTTCAATCCTTGCTACTCCCAAAAATAAAATAAAAAATAAACAGTGTAGTTGTGATGCTAGAAATAAAATGATTTGTGTTTCACTGATGGCTAAAAGTGATGTTGAACATTTTTCCATAAAATTGTTGACAATTTTTACTTCTTTTGAGAAATGTCTGTCGAGTTCATTTGTTTATATATTGATTGGGTTATTTGTTTTATAATGTTGTCTACTTTTAGTTCTTTATTCTGGACATTAATTCTCTTTCAGAAGAGTATCTGACAAAGATCTTCTCCATTTCTGTAGGCTTTCTCTTCACCTGGGAAATTGCTGGTAAGATTACATGTTGGAAGACTGAAGGATTTGGGGTCCAAAGTCCATGGGCAATGGTAGCAGCCACGGATGCATCAACTCAAGAAAAATCAAGCATGCATCCAGTACAGCTTCCTCCTCCCATTTTTTTTTATCCCATCTGGGCTCCCAGTCTATGGAACAGTGTCACCATTCAGGGAAAGTGTTCCCCCTCAATTTGCTGTCCCTCATGCCAATTGTCTCTGGAACTACCCTCATAGACATATCCCGAAGTCTTTTAATCCTAAGCATCTTTAAATCCAATCAAGTTTATAATTCTGATTAACCATCTCAAATGCCAATTGTATGTGGGGCTTATGTTTTTTTTTTTGGCTGTCTTGTCTCCATATAGACACTACACCTACCATCTAAGGAAGTATCCATTTTTAATTTTCCCTTTATTCCTCACTGCCTCACCTCACCTAGCATATTATTGGGCACACACTAGCCCAGTTCATACTTGCTTTCTATCATTATAACAAAATACCTAACATAAACAAAAGGAGGAAAGGTTTATTTTGGCTCATAGTTTAACAGGTTTCAGTCCATGGTCACTTGGTTCTACTTTTTTTTTTTTTTTTTTAGCACCAGGGACCCCATGGGTGCTTAACCACTGAGGTACATCCCCAGCCCTCTTATATTTTGAGACAAGGTCATGCTAAATTGCTTAGGGCCTAAATTTCTGAGGCCAGCTTTGAATTTGTAATCCTCCTACCTCAGCCTCCTGAGCTGCTGGGATTATAGGCATGTGCCACTGCACCCCAGCTGGCTCTATCATTTCTGCGCCCATTGTAAGGCAGAATATCATGGCAAGGAGTATTTGGTGAGGAAAAGTTGTTTACCTCATGGCAGCCAGGAAGAAGAGACAGAGGGAGGAAGGGACAAGGAACAAAATATGCTGTTCTAGGGCATGCTCCCAGTAGCCTACTTCCTCCAAATAGGCCCCATCTCTTATAATTTCCACCAACTCCCAATAATGCAATCAAATTATTAATCTATTGATGAATTAATCCCTTGATGAGATTAAAGCAATCATGAGCCAATCACTTTCCTAAAAGCCCCATCTCTGAGTACTGCTGCTTAGAGGAACAAGCCTTCAGCATGTGAGACTTTGGGTGAGATTCCAGACTCAAACCATAACATAGATGCTACAGTGAGTCTAAATACTCTAAATCAATAGTTTAACATTACAACCATCTCAAATTGACCCACATAGTCCCAGTACATAGTGGTACAAAAAACATTGAAATGCCATACAAAATTTGATTGACCTAATCTATTATTTCTTCAGAATTACCTAAAACCTAAAGATTTCATTATTTAAAAGATAGTATAAAACACTTAGAAAAAAAGAAAGTCAATCATATTTTCAAATCTGAAAATCAGACACATAGTTGACTGGACATTTATACATTTAGATGTTGTGGATTATCATTATTACTTAAGTTGAATTACTGTGATAAACCTGGAAAACAGCAAAACAAAGGCTGTTTTATACTTTGATTCTGCCTTCTAATGTTATCATTACTATCTCAGCAGAAACACTGAGAAGTAGTGCCAGCAGTGCAATAATGGCAGTGAAAAAGCCATCTTTGTGCTGTTACTGCTGTCCTGTCTTTGTTTAGCTTTGTACCGCCAGCACATCTTAATATCACAAACTTCGAGTTCTACAAGGTAACTAAAATATGAACACAAGGCCACCTGGTTATGGTTTCTAATTGAGGGCAATACTTGTGATCTATCATATAACCTCAGTATCTTCTTGGTTTCTAATGGAAAATAAAACCATCATGGCAAAATCTGAACACCTAAAAAGTCAACTTTACATGATGAATCATGTAAAGTACAACTCCCAATAATGCAATCAAATTATGAATCCATCGATGAATCAATCCCTTGATGAGATTAAAGCGATCATGAGCCAATCACTTTCCTAAAAGCCCCATCTCTGAGTACTGCTGTTTAGAGGAACAAGCCTTCAGCTTGTTTTTTTTTTTTTTTTCTCAAGCAGTTATTCTCTACGCTAACGGGTTTCCAAGAGTTAGGCTATTTGTAATAGCAACTTGTGATTTTAGAAAGGAATATATTTTTTTTCCTTTTTCTAACATCAGGGAGGTATTTTACTGAGAGATATAAACAAAGCCAGTAAATGAAGTGTGGTAACAGGCAAAAAGTATGTGAGCAAACTGACTTTAAATGAAGTGATTGTCTAAAGAAAGGTTGCAACTTGTATCAGAAAGAGATTCAATAAGGAAAATATCCTTAAGAATATTGACAAATATTCACAAAGGGCAAATTTATAGGCATTCTCCCATTCGCCAAAGTATGGCTTTTTTTCAAACTAATTAAAAACATTTCTATTACATAAAAATGTTAAGCTTACTTTTTAAAAAGTTTGCATTATTATTTGAGAAAAGCATAATCCAAATACTAGCTAATTCCTAACTTCTCTCCAAGACTTAGAAATAATCAAGGAACTTACATCAGGAAAACAGATCGAACAGGAAGAAGTAGCGCTTTCCAAATGGACTGGATTTTTCTCCTCTGGGCTCCAGAAAGAACGTACTTATGACTGCTTAAGAAAGGAGAATAGATACTTGGAATAACTTACTCCTATTTTTCCCTTATCGTTTCTCCTGTAGAAAGCAGTAACAACTTCAATACTTCATTAATATTGCCCAAGATAAGTAATATTTTTTATCTAATATGAAGTTTCAAGTTTCTTGTTCAAGATAGGCGTGGGCTCAGAGAACAGGGCAATCATGCCATTCAAAGGCATGCCTGAAGCCATTTGTGGTTCATACATTCAAGGTTGAATGCAATACAGTATGAAATATCTTGTGCAAATTAACTAGTCTGAAGGAACATTCAATTTAGGAATTGTCAGGCAATTGTTGAGCATTGTTGTACTTAGAATCCACCCCCATATTTTCTTTTCTTCTGATAATAGGATGTATTGTTGCCTCACAATAAACTCAGTTTTTAGGACCAATGAAACCTGATTACTTAGTAAACAGGTGGCTATGTGTGTGTGCTGTGTGGCTGTTAATTTATATTCTCATGACCATTTTACAGCTATCTTTCACTTCTAGTGTGTTTATATGAAAAAATGTTCATATTGTAGATGGGAACCTGTCAGGGTTTGCAACGTTTTGTTTAGATGATGCAGTCCCCCAAATAGTGAAAGTTTACTACATTCTTTTTAATATTCTTAGTTGTAGATGGACACAATCTTTATTTTTATGTGGTGCTGAGGATTGAACCCAGTGCCTCACATGTGTGAGGTGAGCACTCTACCACTTAAATTAGCCCCCGTCCAATTTACTACATTCTCCATTCTTATAAATGGTAATATTTAGTAAGCAAAGGTTAGTATCTGAAACAACAGATGAAATGTACAGTCTTGCAGATTTGGGATCTTCAAAGTTACAATTTTAATGTAAAGAATGAAGTGGCCCCTCTCATGATCGTAGAGCTAACTTCCGTTGTAATGTGTCCCAACCTCTGTTTACAGAGGGTAAAGCATTCTTTTCCTTTTATTTAGAAAACCAATTCTACAATACATCAGTGTTTAAATGACTCTAAATCTTTGAAGGGAACAGTTTGGGTTTGCAATATTCCTATATGTAACTTTTTTACTGACTCATCCCTGGTAAAATCCTGAAGATTTTAAGAAATCCCACACATGGACTAAAAAATCCTCAGAACAAAATGGGCTTCAAGTATAGGAACTCTTTGCTGTTTAAGGAAGATAATGATTACAGACGCTATAATGAAAGAGCACCAATGCAGTTTATTTTAATGCTTCTAATTTATGAGAATAATTTCTTACTGCTACATCATTAGTAATCAATACTGAAGTTGGAAAGCATAGTTAAGACCCACAACTGTACTGGACTACACAACTTCACACAATACTAGGCACCATTATTCTAAAACAAAAACAAACAAAAACTGAAGTATGCATGACAAAGTTCTTAATCTTCAGGGGATCCATGAACCACCCCCCAAAACTGTACAGAAGTTGTATAGTATGCATGCATAAAATTTTCTGGGGAGCAGTCTCATTAAATCTACTTTTAAAGGGGTGCAAGGAGGCTAAGAAACAGTACATGAAAGAATGCTAGTCTCCCCTATATTTTCAATGGTGGAAGGACTGGGCAGGGAAAAACTCTGAAATGGTGTTTGCTTTATGAGTTCAGGAACATGTTCTGATTTAGAATGGAGAAATTGGGACACAAGTGGTAACATGAGCTGGAAACAAGGACACTCCCAAGAGATTTTGTATGAATAAAGCAATAGCATGAATTTAAGATACAATTTAACTCCAGTACAATTTTTAGTTTCTGCATATTATCAGCTTATTTTTATTTTTGAATATCACAAACTTCAATCAGAATACTTTTAAAAATATTATTTTGCATGCATTTAACAAATCTGACAAAAAGGACGAGTATCCAGTTTATTTGCGTTATTAACTATGAGGTTTTAACTCGACAGCCAATTAACAGATATTTAAAATAATTAGGTACAGGTAACAATGGAAAAACTTCAATGCATTAATCAGATGGCACCCTATCACTATGCATATGTTCATATAACACTACTAGTAATGACCCTGAAGCACAGGCAAATGGAGATGGAGGACTCTCCCTAAAAAGCAAGTTTAAGGGATTAAATATCATCATCATCATCATCATCATCATCACTACTAAGGACAAAGCTGCTGCCTGTGGACAGTGCATCTTCTTTCACATTCCCCAAAGTCCCCCTGTCATCAGAATCCTCAAACACCTTGTCACTGGAACACTCCTCCTCATCAAACTTCTCACTGGAATTGCCATCTTCAAATACCTTTTCATCTACATCTTCATCTTCCTTTATGTCTGCATCTTCTTCATCTTCCTTTTCATCTGAGTCTTCAAACAGCTTTTCATCGGCATCCTCCTCTTCCTCTTTCTCATTAGCATCTTCCCGCTCTTTTTCATTGGCAAATTCTTCATCCTCTTTCTCATCAGACTCATCATCAAAAACCTTTTCATATATATCTTCTTCTTCTTCTTCCTTTTCATCTGAATCTTCATCAAACTCTCTCTCAGAACCTTCCTCGTCATCTAACACTCTCTCAGAGCCTTCATCAAATTCTGATTTGTCGGTGTCATTTTCTTCTAACTCTTTGTCAAGAATGTTTTCAGGAAACTCTTTGTCAGAGCCCTCCTCATCAAAATCATTTTCAAGGCCATTTTCTTCAAATTCTTTTTCGGAGCCTTCTTCTGACTGCTTTTCAGAACCATCTTCATCAGATTCTCTCTCTGAGTCATCCTCTCCGGATTCTTTTTTGGGGCTATCCTCCTCTTCAGACTCCTTTTCAGGGTCATCATCTTCAGACTCTTTGGCAACACCGTTCTCTTCATAATCACGTTTGAGTTTCTTCTTTTTAGATTCTCTCTCAGGGCCATTCTCTTTCAACTCCTTCTTAGGACTACCCCCTTCAAAATCTTTTTCAGAACAGCCTTCTTCATATTCTCTTTTGGGACAGCCTCCCTCACACTCTTTCTCAAGGCAGCTCTCTTCAGACTCTTTTTCAGGGCAGCCTTCTTTGACCTCTTCTTCAGGCCCACCTTCTTTAGCATCTTTTCCAGAAGCCTCTCCTTCAACTTCTTCCACATCTTCTGCTTTTTCAAACTTCTTCTCATCAATAGGTTCTTCAAATGCCACTCCAGTTGCAGCTTCTTGAGCATTCATTTTAGATGTGCTTGGGTGTTCTGAAAAATGCCTTATTCTAGAAGGCCCTGCCCTTTCTGAAGCACAGACAGAATTTGAACGCTGAAGGCCTCTGTTGGCCTCCGGAGCATTGAGAAATGCCTCCCATCCTCTCAGCCTTTCCTCTCTTTCTCTTGAGGTCTCCTCCACCTGTGGATGAGTAGAAATTGCCATTAAAATGAGTTTTAGGCGACAAGAACAATTTCTCTGAGTGTTTCTAATTCTGATGAAAATACCCTGATTTTATAAGGCAGCTCCCCTCAGGAAATCCTAGTAATATCTGTCTTCAGTTTTCAAACACTTTACATTTTGATTTACTGACTTTAAATAATAGCCAAACTTAAATAGGATCATTTAACTAAATGAAAACACCACAGTACTGCAGAAATGTTTCATGTCTTAAAAGTTAGTATTTGAGTTCTGTCTGGACACAACAACACAGAAAGGAAAAGAAATGTTTTGGTTTAATGTGTTCTTTTCTTATCACTATTCTGGGCAAGTCTCAAAATTTCAGACTTACAAACTGCAACATTTTTTCTTTCCATCCTCTGAATGTAAAGTATTATTTAAAAGAAGTGTTGTTACACTAAACAGATTAAACCAAACCCAAAACTTCATCCTAAAAGACTGCTTGATCAATATTTGTTGGTAATAAAACAATCTGTGTGCCTTGATAACTGTAGAATTTACCTGATAATCTGTAGTCCCATCCCATGCTTGGGCGGTGATCTGTCGACCACCAAACCATCTTCCATCAAGGGTCTGAATACAATGATCAGCTTCCTCGGGATCCCTAAAGGACACAGAGGCCACACCATCTGGGTGCCTCTAGAAAGACAAGAATGAACAAAAAATAATGAACAATAAGATTAAAAGCAAAACACATTTGATAAAGTATGTAAGGTATAGTATTCTCTTTGATACTTCAAGGTAGAAGACTTTAAGAAGTCTTTCTCCCTTTTATCCCCAAAACGGCATGCATTCAGCTATTTCTTTAGCTACATCTTATCTAGCAAGAGCCAGAAATATTTCTGCAAAAAATATTGTTTAATGAGAGATAAGACAGAGTAATTGTTAAGACTATGAACACTGAAGTGAGATTCACTCTGGGATTAAATCCTGCCTGTTAGTTACCAGCTGAATAAACCCTGGGCACGGTGCTCCAACTGAAAAGTTTTAGTTTTCTCATCTGTAAAGTGGGTAGAATAGGACTTACCTACCTTGGAAGGGTTGTTGAGGGCTAAATGATAACACGTAAAGGAGCTAATAGTACAACAAAAATAAATGGTGACTTTAAATTACTATGTCAATTTTGGAAGTAAAAGAAGGATAAAAAGGGGAAATACACAGTAGAATATTTCCCCCAATTGATCCAAATATAGAGAAGAATAATTTAGAGAGGGGAAAATGTGGGCAAATAGGGAAAAATAAAGTTTTGTACATTTTTCTTGCAGTTTCTTTCACCTGATCACATCCTCTAAGAGGGATGAAGAGAAATGAACAAGACATACCAAGTCTATCAAAGCCTTGACTTGTAAAAATAAAAAATGTCTATCTAGTTATTGTTGATAGATGACTACCATCAGATAGCAAACTTACTATATTAAAATATTAATCTAAAATTTAGGAGCTTACTGATGTTCAATAATCATATATTAAGCTAGAAAAATAATTGTTTTAGGATTCATTTTTCCAAGCCATGAACTTACATCAAAGAGAAGGAGCTTCCTAATTTGTCCAAACTTGGAGCACTCTACTCGAAGATCTTCTCTGATCTCATTCAGCACCAATGGATCGTCCTGTAAAAATTAACATAATTAAAATGTTTTCCTGTTTCTTCAACTATAATTCCTGAGAATCAAATTTATTGCTCTGACAAACCCACAAATAAAAAAAGTTTTGCTTAAGTTTGACTATGTCTATAGTCTACAAAATTAAAAAAAAAAAAAAAAAAATCAAATGAAGTTAGACCACTGCAGACAATGCTACTAGTATATGTCTACCCTGCTTTAAGACAGAGGAAATGGACAAGCATGGCAAAGAGAAGAGGGGGGCCTACAGTGACAAAGGAAAAAGGAAGGGAAGTGGGACTGGAAATTCCAAATTAACAGCAGCAGTAAAGGAAGAAACCCTGTGGCACACTTTTAGTCACAGACTGGTAATTCCTGTACTGCATAGGCATCATAGTAATACTGATGAGTCCTTTGCTCTGATTTTCAGATAGATTCCTATTTACAGAAATGTTGCAAAGGAGAAAGAGATATCACTTTTATTGACTAAATTTTCTAAAACCTTTTTTGTGTGTGTGCTTTCAAGATTCTATTTTAACTCACAAGGTAAACCTTAGGAGGATTCTTGTTTATCTTATCTTCTGCTGTGTTATAACAAGACAACACAGCACACAAGGTATAAAGCAAACATTAAGACATATTCTTACTGTTGCTCTTACAACAACCAAGTGTACGGAGAACATTTGAGCATTGCTATTTCTAGTAGTCAAGTTCAGGTGTACTTTCCTCCTCATATCAAAAGGATTTTTAATATTCCAATGGGAATATTTCTCTAAGTTTCAATGCATGAAAAGGGCTCAGAAAAAGCTAGGTTTATAAACTTGAATTTCAACTACAAATATAAACGAAGATATGCTATCTAAGAATTTCTATTGAAGTCCATTTACACTAAGAAACATTTGAATGCATCTATCTTTCTCACAGGGTTTTATTTTTCTTACCAACTAAAAAGGAACTACGATAAAGTACCAAAAAGTAGCTTTTCTCCCTTAAAGTTCTCTCAAAAAGCAAAAATAAATTGGGAAGCAGTTACTGAAATCAGATTTAAAAGAAAAAATGTAAAACCCAATTTGCACAAATCTGCAGCTTCTAAAAGTATAGCTGGCAGATTGAATTTCCCTATTTATAAAACCTTATTTTGGAGAAGAAAACCTAATTTTGCAGAACTATCAGATCTGAAAATGGTGCAATGGAACATAAACATCTTTTGATAAAGTCACGCAGTGGCCATTGGTGATGCATGTGTCTAATCAGCTCCTATGGGATCATGTGCTTGCAGAAGGCAGGAATCTTGTTTCACTGAGTTTTGTAAACAGTACAGAATTTTATATACAGCCAATAATCAATAAAATATTTTTCAGAGTTTGACAAACTGTTCCTAATCTCTCTCTTATTCACCAAGAAAAATCAGGGTTATATAAAAAAACAAGAACAAAAAAAGTTTCTAAGTATTTAACAAATTTTGAATTTAAATGTGATTCCATTAGGGTGGGGGACACCACTATTTCTACATCAATTTCTCAGTATTCTTCCTATAAGATAGGTATCAATTCTGAGCCTAAGTCTTGCCAGACCTTTGTTTTCATTTATACCAACTTGAAAAACTAATACATTATCATTGCTGTACAGTATCCTGATGCTCCATGATAATGTTCTCCTCCTTTAGGAAGACTCTTTAACCTAGTGAGCTACACATGGAAATTTTCTGAAGACGGCACTTTGCAAGCAATAGGCCTGTGACTATAATTGGCCTCACGCACTACAACTTTCTACCATTAATTCTCAGAATTTATTTCCCCCATGATGGTGTTTCGTTTTGTATAGAAGAAATAAATGATATTTCTCATGCCTTTACAATATAAAATTACACTGGCTAAGACAGTGGACACTGATCACACAGGGTTACGAACATTTGAAATGTGGCTAGTCCAACTCAAGGTACTCTAGGTGTAAAACGTACACTACACTTTGAAAATTTAGTACCAAAAGGAAAAAAAGGAGTATACCTCACTAATATTTTTATACTCACTACATGTCAAAACTGTAATATGCTAGATATGCTGGATTAAATTAAAATTCACAAAAATTTAATTTCCTTAGTTTCACAATATATTTTTATTTGGATTATGAAAAAATTTAAAGTTCACATGGGGCTTACCTTATACTTCTATTGGACATTGCTGATACACACAAAGAGAAACATACCTTTGCATTTGAATTTTCACTCCTCATCTCTTGGGATTCTAATTTGCCAGACATTACATTTTTAAATAAGGCTGAATCGAATACTGCAGACCCTCTGAAGTGACATTAAAAACATTAGGCTTCACTGTTTACCCTGCTGCCAAAGAGTATTTTTAGATATGCTGCTTCTAACATTGGTCAACTGTTTAGAATACAAATATATTACACTCCCAGAATCTTGACTTATTTCTGATAACTTGAAGTAACTTGACAATTCAATGTTTTGTTTCCCACTAAAAAGCTCAATGCTAATGTCTGTTCTTTAGGGTCACAAGAAGTCTTCAGTCAAATCAAATAATCCCAAAAATTATGTAATGAAAGCAGGCTTTCCTGTTAAACCCTTCTATTCATTGTCACATAACGTCTATACCAGTATTGTCTAATACTTTTTATGATGATAGGAAATTTGCATATCTGCATTATTCAATTTGGTAGCTATTAATTGCATATATAGCTCGTACAGTTGAAGAACTGAACTTTTTATTTAGTTTTAATTAAACTATACATATGTGGCTAGAATCTACAATATCAGATAGTATAGGTCTACACTACACATTCTGAAGTTCAAGACCACAGAGATAGTGAACAAAAACCAAGACTGTTCTCTCTCTTGCTAACAGGCTCTTGTCAATCTAGTTGAACCACTTGAAACTAGGTTGGTGCACAAACAAGGAGAGGGCCAAGGATTTCTTTGCTTGGGAGTTCTGAAGCCTACCACTGCCAGTACAGACTGTCCTGCCACCCTCTGAAGCATAGCATCTGAGAAGAAAATTGCTTTCATTTACAAAGATGTAAAGCAGAAATATTTTATCCATTGCATGAATGCAGAAACTCTGGCTTGGAAGTAATAGGGATTTCATTCATTCTTTCAATTATTCTTCATATAAATAATAGGGCAGGGGCTGGGAGTATAGCTCAGTGCTAGAACATGTGCTCAGCACACACTAGTCTCCGGGTTCAATTGCAGAACCATAAAATAAATATTGGGAGGGCCTAATAATAAATACATATTTAGGGTCTACAATTCTATTCCCTGGGACTACAGCAGCAAACAGAGTAGGCAAAGTCCTGGTCTTCATGGAACTCATATTCTAGCAGAAGAGATAAAATTATTTCAGATAATAATAAATGACACAAGTGAAACAAAACAGGGTAATATAAAGGCTCTGTAACTCCAAAGTAAAGTTTACACTAAACCAAGAAGTATTTGTTTTTAAAGAATCAGAAATTTATAAGTAGATCTGTAAGGGTTAAGATGGAATAAATGTAGCTTGGAGGGGATAATATTTATAAAGCTAAGTCAGCTCAGGGTGACAGTTACACATAAATAGGGTCTCTCAATAAGCAAGGCAGGAGGCAGAAACAAGAACATATAAAATTTACAGACTTCTTTAGAGGGTCTAAATGCTTTAAATTAAGTTTGCAATTACATTCACATTTGAATGTCAGGAGTTTGATATATGTGAATCAAGGACTTCAAGTAACATAAATAAATATGCCACCTAAGCAACAAACCACTTATTCACCAGGGAGATAAAATTCGATGAATCACAGGAAATTCTAGAGTTGTACCTAGTAGACTAGATACTGTGATTTACCTATGAATTGCTTTTAAAGTCGAACCCAGCAAGGACAGCACTTCAAAAAGCAACTACAGATGCTATGCAACTTACAATGGGGTCACGTCCCAACAAACCCATCAGAAATTGAAAGTATACTAAGTACAAAACGCATTTAGTACACTTAACCTACTGAACACCAGACCTTAGCCTAGACTCCCTTAAATATGCTCAGAACATTTAAATTAGCCCATAGTTGGGCAAAAACATCTATTTTATAATAAAGATTTGAATATTGGATGTAGTTTAGTGAACACTGTATATACACTGTAGAGTACTGGTTGTTCATCCTCACGATTGCTAGCCTGGGAAAAAATCAAAATCCAAAATTTGAAACACCATTTCTACTGAACACATATTGTTCTTGCACCATCACAGAGTCAAAAATGTGTTAAGTCAAACCCAGGTAAAGTCAGAGACCTTCTGTAGTGTGCTTGTATACATGTGTGTTTTTAAGTCATACTTCATTATTACTGCAAGTCTACAATAGCTCTGTAATATTTCAAGGTTCTTCTGGATTCTGGTCAGCAGACACCATGCAACTTTACAAATATACCACATGCATCTATCCAATGACTTTGAAAGATGTCCAGACTCCACAGGTGGACAGTAAGTCCTATTGCATCACTGTTCAGAGATAGAGCTCAATTGTCCATCTTGGGAACCTTTCTAATGCAACTAAAATGATACTGCATTTTGACACTGTTTACAAACCATGCACAGAACAACAAGAATGAGCACTGATTGCACCTACCACATTTGTAAACCTGGAATTTTACATTATGAATAGTTTCTTCATGTATAACTTGCTATAATTCCAGAACCAGACAGAGAATAGAGTTGCTTTGCCAGTAATGATAGTGTCAATCTACATCAGAAAAAATTAGAAGCAGAATGCAGCACAAGATACCTTGACAACAAGTAGTATTCCTCAAACCTCTTCAGTACTAGAAAACTTCCTTTATTCATTTCTTTCCTGTTCTTAAGAATTTTACATGGACATTAAATATTATAACCTTCTCCTAGTAGCCACTGAAGGGTTTTGTAAAACTGAAATTCTGAAAAAAACAACACCCGTTATTTAAAACATTGGGGGCTGAATTTCATTATACTAAGGATTAAACTTTTAGTAGCAAAGTGAGTTTTCATTTGCAAGTGTGCAACTGGTACTCTCCACCAAATCAGCCCATACTTGTTGGACTGCACTCAAAATCCACAAACTATCCTCATTGATCTTTAAATGATGATATTTCTTAACAATTTCCCATACCAAGAGGTTGTTATTTGGGGCCACAATAAGAGTATTAAGCTGAGAAGAAGTTCACTGGACTAGACAAAGGGGAATGAAGAAAAGGAAAGGGAGATGGGACTAGGAAAGACAATGGAATGAATCAGATATAACTTTCCTATGTTCATATACATACAACCACAAGAATGGGAAGTTATAATCCATATGTGTTTGATATGTCAAAATATATTCTATTATCCTGTATAACTAAAAAGAACAAATTAAAAAATTTAAAAAATAAAAAATAAAATAAACAGTTTTACTGGGATACAATTAAAAGAACATGGTGCCAAACAAAGACAAATCCAAAACATCAGATTGATTCTTGGCTCCATTTTTCTGCCTTATCCACTACCTGAACATGTAGGATGTGACATGACAAAGATGGAAGATGACCTTTGGGCTCCCTTGAAAGAAAACGTATCAGAATTCCTATTCATTAGAACACCATTTCCTACCTCAAAATCCATAGGGTGAAACATATTTTTGATGATGACAACTCGCTCATGGCGCATCCGGGATGGCCCAGCTCTCCTCTCAGGTCTCCAATCCAACTGCCTAAATATCATAATATAGTAGAAAGAAAATGAATTTTGTTTCAGACTTGTTGGATAGAAAATGAGTTACTAATATAACCCTTTGAATATTTAATAATGATAATTATTTGATTCTAAAACAATGTATATTTCTGTCACAATTCCATTCACAGAATTTTCTGAAAAAAAAAAAAAAAAAAAAAAAAAAAACGCTGGGCAGGGGTAAAAATAAACCCGGTACCTGAAACCCTCAGCATATATAAGCAACTCATCTCATACAAACATTCCAATGGGACTCCTAAAATTCCTAATTACTTACTACTTATTATTCTCTAGGAAGATATGTAGTTGTTCCTCAGCATATATGGGTGACTGGTTCCAGGACCCACCTTGGATACAAAACCCATACTCAAGTCCTTTATATAAAATAGCACAGTATTTGCATAGAACCTACACATATCCTCCTGTATACTTTACATCAACCTCTACATTACTTATCATATGATATAAATGCTACATAAATAGTTGTTATACTGTATTGCTTAGGGAATGATAACAAGAAAAAGTTTCTCCATGTTCATTACAGATGTAATTTTTTCTCCAAATATTTTCAATTCAGAGTACACTGAGTCCACAGATATAGAACACACGGATATGAAAAGTTGACTGTATTTTGAGGTTAAAAAAATGTTTTGCGTTAGTTTTTAGGCACTTTATCATTATAAAGAACAAGCTGCACAGAAATATATAAAACTACTCACTTTGTTACAGTCTTAAATTCTACTAATACCATTTACAAAATTTGTAGTATCTTTTTAAACTAATCTTGTAAAAACTATGGGACAGTACAACTAAACAGTTTTATTATTATTTTAACATCAGGGAAAGTATCCTTTTCTTAAAACTAGCATACTTCAGTCTGTTTAATAATATATTAATAAAAACCTGACAACATTACATATATGCTACATGTAACTATACAGAAAATACAGTAATAAAGCTTATCATTTCTAATTTCTACTAACAAACCTGTATATAAAAATTTAGCTCCTGGTATAACTGATTTCAATTCACATTGAAAATAAACCAAAAGTTCTGGTATATAAGCCTAAACTATCTTGCTAATTTAATGTTCAACATTTTCAAAAAATGATTTTTCTTGGGGCTGGGGTTGTGGCTCAGTGGCAAAACGTTTGTCTAGCATGTGTGAGGTAATGGGTTTGATTCTCAGCACCACATATAAATAAATAAAATAAAGGTCTATTGACAACTAAAAAATATTTTTTTAAAAAAATTGATTTTTCTTAGTTCAGTTAATTACCATTATATTATAAATAAATACTGCAGAAAGAAAAAATACCACCATTGCCAAATCAGCCCATCAACTAGATTACCAAAGATCCCTGGTGAACTAATGAAATTCTTTAAAAATGATCTGTAGACATTTTTGATGAAACAAAACTAAGTGGCTACTATCAAAAATATACTTTAGGATATTTATATGGAACCTTCCAAAAAGAAAAAAAAAATACAAACTTCTGTTGCAGAGACAGCTTCTTCTTATAGTCTTTGCACTTCTTTTTCTTCTTTGAGGCGTCATATTCCCCCTTCAGCTGAAACTTTGCTACCTCGACATGTAATTTGTAGCCTCTAATTTCATCTTCATCCAAAAGTTTTAATGCAAGTTCCACAGATTCCCTCTTTATAAAGGTAAAATAAAATACAGTCAATAAGTTACACACTGAAAATTTGAGAAGTCTTTTAGAAAGGAATGATGACAACTACCTACTTTGAAATAAAGAACTCTAGAATGTAAATAAGGAAACTTGCTTTGGAGACACAGCTGCCCCTAACCAGCTGTGTGAACTTGGGCCCCTTACTTAAACTCTGAGCCCCAATTTCTTCCTTTGTAAAATGGAATAGTACTATCTTCATCACAGGGCTCCTTATGAAATGAAATAGTTCACGCAAAGGGTAGGAACTAGCAGACAGTTAAATATTCAATAAATTAATTACTGGGTTAATTTTGCCTCTTGGAATGTCAACTGCACATCTACAAAATAAGGTGAATGGACTTGCATAATGGAAGGTTGATTCTAGTTTTAAAATCCTATCGTACTCCCACCTGAAAGGCTAGATGACTCAAGGAACTGGGAATAAGATTTCCAGCCTTTAATTTTTTGCTTCAACAACTAAAATACTGGTCTGCAATACACTAATAAGTAGAAGATATCTAGCGGCATATTCATGAAATACATTTATAGAATGTGGGTCCTATATAAGGTGGGCAGTTATCAGATCCAAAGAGTCTAAGACCTGAAGGTCTGAGGAAAACAAAACTGAACTCAGCTGCTCAAATCAAATATGGATCTTAAAATAATTACCCAAATTTTTCTGGAACTCAATTTACTGGTTTGATAATCTTGTGCTTTTATGGGCCCTAAATTATATATATGAAGTTTCATAAACTCCATTTTTTAAATATCCAATCAAACCCCCTTAAAGAAGCAGTTCACAGATGTTTAATAATCCTTGATGAATTATAAAACTTACAAATCTCCTTACATTTAAACACTACAAAAGTACTTCCCTCAAATGGTCATGCTTATATCCCACACCCATCTTGTTTAAGAACAAGGTTAAAAACCTACCTACCAAAAAGCTGTCAGCTTAATCCTTCCCTCTTCTGGTCTTACTGAAATACAGCAGATTCACAACGCACTTGTAGTGCTTGCACTGCTGTTGTACCATTTTTTATTTTACTTTATAATTACTGTCAGGTTCTATGACAAATGGACATTTCATTATCATGTACATTTTGTACCCAGCAATAACACATAATACTCGTTCCTAAGGTGGCAGGTGTTGTTGCCTTTGGCACTGAGCTACCTCTGTGCAATTCATGGTACCAAGACTACACAAAACATCTGCAAATTTCTGTTAATATCATTCTCTTTTCTCCTATTCAAAAATATTTTAAAGCAATAAGCATAAGCTATCATGTCCTTTATAATCTAATTCCAGGGTCAGAAAAGTCATTTTGTAAACAGCCATTTAGTAAGCAGTTTAGGCTTTGTGGGCCATGAGGTCTATGCTCAAATATGCAACTCTGATGAAACACAAAAGCAGTCTCAGACAAATGCATAGATGAATGAGTATGGCTGTGCTCCAATAAAGCTTTATTTACAAAAACAGGTGGCAGGCTGGAGTTTGCAAAACCCTGGTCTAATTCATTGCAACAGGCCAAAAAAATGTTTCTGGCTTTCATTTTTCTTCTCAGATTTTTAAACCATTTTCCCAACTGATTACACACATTGATGAACAGATCTTTGCACTGAGAATTTTAAGACAAAAGAAGCACTTCAGGCACATACTTATATACTTTCAAAACACGTGAAAACCTTACCAAAGTGATACACACAGGTACCACCTGAAATTTCAGTTTTCTTTATACCCTGTTTTGAATACTTCTTGGTTTAAGTTATCACCTTTTATAGTCCTGGGCTGGGATTGTGGCTCAGTGGCAGAGCATTTGCCTTGCACGTGTGAGGCACTGGGTTTGATCCTCAGCACTACATAAAAATAAGTAAATAAAATAAAGGTATTGTGTCCACCTACAACTAAAAAAAATTTTTTAAAATGATTATAGTCCTGGCTCCTGAGGTAAAAATGGTGATACAAAGGCCAGGTGCAATGAATCATGCCTTTAGTCCCAGCTACTTAGGAGGATGAAGCAAGAGGATCATTTGAGCCCTCGAGTTCAAGATCAGCCTGAGCAACAGAGTGAGACCTCCATTAAAAAAAATGGAAATACAAGAACTTATTTGATCATATAACTAACCTTCAAATAACAGCAAAGCCCATCTCCTTTAAGATTTCCTTGATTATCTTTGTAAAGTTTGACCTTAAATTCTTCTGTCTGAGGATCCCTCATAATAATACCAAATTTAGACATAAGCTGTATAAATTCATCCACTGTAATGTCAGGAGGTAAACCTGTAAAATCAAGAAAATTTTCCAAAATATTTATAAAGGTGAAAGTTACTTAGCATTCGATCAATTAGAAATTTACAACTTAGGTGAATGCAAAACTGATTTTCCAAGTGAATGCAAAAATCTTACATCTATCAAACTAAGGAACATTCACATATTTATGTATTCAAATATATATTAAAATTATTTTTGCTTAGCCCTCACTGAATCTGAAGAGGGCAAACTGTCATCAATTAGCTAACGCAGGTAAAATGGATGGTATATGCAAAGTTACATACACTTAATTTTTCTTAGACCTGTAATAAGCAAATTCCTCATTAGTGTAAACAAGTGAACAAACAATTCTACAATGAGCCGGGCATAGTGGCACACATCTGTAATACCAGCAACTTGGAAAGCCGAGGAAGGAGGATCTCAAATTTGAGGACAGCCTAAGCAACTTGACAAGACCCTCTCAAAATGAAAAAAAAAAAAAAGTCTGAGAATGCAGCTCAAAGGCAAAGCACCCCTGGGTTCTATCCCCTATACCAAAAAATATATACACATATACACATAAAATACAAACATATATATACATCCATCCACAAAGATTTTAAAAATGGACTTCAGAGGAACTAAAACTAAAAATCATTTTGAAAAAATCTCAACATCAAATATTTTCAATCCTGGGCTGGAGTGTGGCTCAGTGATAAAGCACTTGCCTCAGATATGTAAGGCACTGGGTTCGATTCTCAGCACTGCATATAAATATGAATAAAATAAAGATCCATTAACAACTAAAAAAAATTTTTTTTAAATTGTTCAATCTTAAGTTTGTTTTAAAAGGTATACATACCAGACACATATACATTTGTATTTCTGTCTTCTTCAACATGAAACCACCCTAAAAATCAAAAAGAAATACATAAAATACTTAAAAGCCAAGATAAGAATTACATTATGAAATTTTAACAATGTGACAGTTTCTTAAAATCTCTAGGAACTTTCTCTTACCTTTAGAAGACTAATAAACTAACTCAAATCACTGCCTACCTTTCAAATATTTGAACCTTTTGACAGATTTGTTTTCAAGCCCTGGCTAAAAGAGAAGATGGTCATTTTATCTTGATTCTTTATGACTCAGACATCTTAAAGAAAAAAACTCATTCCTTCAGAGCTATTATAATTCCCCCCAAACTAACTATATATGTTTACACACTCACATTTTAAATTTTTATGCTCATGTTTTGCAAGGTACAACCACTTGCCTGATTCAGCCTTTCTTTTTTCTCCCTTCTTTCTAGGATCAGAAGGTTCAGGGGTTTTTCTTTGTGGTGGTTCCTCTGCAGTCCTAGTGTTGGCATCTTGGACATTTGCAGTAGAACTAGATGCGCCATCATTAGAGAAGCCATAATTGGCTTGATAGGTAGCAATGAAATCTTCAGTGATCTGGACAAGAAAGTCAAAATGCATACACAAAAATTCAAAGTTATTTCCACCCATAAAAAGTTTAAACTTCTGCAGATTAACACTTATAGTAATTAAACTGTAAATGCATAAAATACCAAAGCATTTAAAGAAATATTGGCTCCTTTTCTAATTGTTTCATTTGTAAATTATTACTTCCCTACCATACCCTTGACTAAGGCTACAAATACATAAAATAAAGGAAATAGCAGCTAACAATAATGCAGAACACCAAATGTCATTTAATAATCTATTATAGAAACCAATTTCTTACTGCATAGATGCAATATACGTATACAATAAATACTCACACTTCTGAATATGAGAGCATATGGCATGCAACTCTTGATGTTTTGTATGAAGAATGAGGCTAACAATTGTAAAACAAAATGTTCATATTGACTCTATCACTAATTAAATTACACTATCATTCAATATCAAAACAAATTAAGGACAAGTCCAAATCATATGTGTATTCCTTGTTTTTTGGAATTAATAACATAAAAAGAGAGTTACAAATTAATCCCTTACCAAATAATTGATAAGTACTCAGAAGGAAAAAGAAAACAAATCTGCACTCAAGCTGGTATCACTATACATAAGTAAACAGTCTATTTTAACAATTTGGAGAGATTGGAATATATACAACACAAAATGGAAAAGAAAAACACTAAAGTTTTAAAATAACCATCCAATCACACAATGGAGACATATTTGGTTATTATCAGCTTGCAAGTTACTGTGTTGTTAATATCCTTTGATACTGATGCTCATATGAGTCTTAAGATTATCAGGGACCATTTACCACAAGTTTAGAGAACCAAGTTTAACAGTAGTTATTTTACTTCCAAGCTGAAATAAAACAATTAACAAACTCTGAGTACTCCAAACAAATGTACACAGATCATTTCCATCCATCTTCTGTGCATCTTTAGTCACAGTCCTGTGGTTAAACGGTTCAAAGACATATGCCCAGGGACAAAATTTTGTAGGAAAATAAAGCAAAGGGCAAAGAAAAGTTCAAACAATAAAGATATATAAATGGCTATTTTTTTAAAAAAAATCAACATGCTTCACACAGTACATAAGCTTAATATCTGAATTCCCAGGATATATCACCTTGACTATCTTAAGATCAAACGTTACTAAATCTAGTGTTTTTCCTCTTTGCAATAAAAATCAGTCATCAATGTAATAACCAGCTGTGACCTTCACAGACAAAATTAATAAGGCATACAAAAGGCATTTAAGACACTACCTAAAGATTTACGTTTCTCTACACATAGGTTCTGCAACAGACGCAACAAAAAGACGCGTCATGACCAGACATGGGGGGCTAGGATCATGGTCCTTGGCAAAGCAAACGTAATAGGAGTACCAGCAAGGCTGGCCAGGCGGCCCTCTCCGCAGTGGCGCCGGTGCCTCTATTTTACCTTGGGGAACCATGCCTTCTTGTCCAGATCCCACTCATAGGGGGTGTCGGCCGGCTGCTGCTCAAAAGAATCGGCTTCTCCGCTGGGATCATTCTGGGTGTCACCGTCCTTGGTGTCTCCGTACAATTCTTGCATTCGCAACTGCTCATCAAACTCATCGTTCGCATCCAAGTTGTTGCCGCTCATGTTTCCTACCTAGCCCACCGGCAGGGTTTAGACTAGAGAAAAGGCCCAGATGACGCTGGAAGGGAGCAGAGAAAGGGAGGTCCGCTGTGCTCAGCTCGAGCCCCGCCGCCCCCCGGCCCGCCTCCCCACTGCGCCCCAGCAGTCCCCGGGAAGTCAGGGCAGTTCTGCCGCCGCACCGCCCCCGGCTCCGCCCGCCCGCCAGCCGCACACGCGCGCGCGCATTGCTACTCTGAGCTCGGCCGCGCCGCCGCCCACCTGGCTCACTTCACAGGGCTGCGGTGCCGCTGCTCGGTCCGGGACGCAGCAGTAGCGCGCACGCGCGCCGCCGCCGCCGCTGCCGCCTACCGGGTCTGAGACAATCGCGGCTCCCGCGGCAATGTCAGGAAATGATTTAAAAACGAAGCCCCACAGAGCCTGACGCAGTCGCCATTGCCGCCGCGTCGCGACGTCGCGGATCGCGCCGACACGCCCACAGTAGCGTCAGAAGGCGCCGACGCGGGCTTGCGGCTCGCGAATCGGGGGCGGGGCCCCAGGGGGCGCGTAGCTGTCTCGTGTCAACGCCCACCAGAGCCCTCCCGGAAACGGGACGTGGCCCGCTGGGACCCGCAACCCCTTAGGAACCTGAGGCTCAGCGGAGTCTCCCACGGGTTGGACGAGGTTGGGCTCCGGGGGTGTCCCGAAGGAAGGCGTGGGAATATTCCCATGCAGCGGGCGCCGGGCGGTATCGCGGCAGGCGCCATCTTGGGAAAGTGGGTGGGGCGGGCAGGAGAACTTTCTTTTGCTTAGAGAAAATGACGCGCCTCCTTCTCCTGGTAGCCCCTCCCCTGCGCAGGAAAGGTCTTTTACTTATTTTTTAATGATTGCTCTAGGATAGGCATCGGCTGTAGTTCAACGTGGCCGCCTAAGTAGCTGACGCGGGGTCTGGTGTCTAGTGCGGAGTGAGTGTATGAATGAATGAACGAACGATGGGATGAAAGTGGCAACCTTTTCCTAGACTTATCTCCCTCCTGTATTGATCTGGTACCTTCCTCAGGCTGTAGTTCGATTCTATTGGAAGGAAAGATGGGCAGCGCCCGTATACTCTAGTACTCAGAGGTACTCAAGGTCCAAACTTGAAGCTCAATTGTAAACATTCCAGTGTAAATGCCAGTTTCACTGGTTGACTGTTTATTTTATAAATACACAACACGTTTCTTTTTTAAATAGATTTTTTTCAAAAATTGTACACATTGCTGAAAGTGAAGGGGTCCATATTTTTTAATTGGGTGGATATTTATTGAACTACTAAGTGCCAAGCACTATATCAGGCTCTGGCGGCAACAGTGAATAAGACAGGCACAGTTCAAGGGAGAAAGACTTGGAAAAGCTGGTAAATGATATGGTAGGAGAAGTACAGGATGTTGGAGAACAGCATACTTAAACTTTTGGGTCTCTGCACCCCTTTACACTCAAAAACTATTGGAGACCCCAGAGAGCTTTTTTAATAGGTGGATTATATTTATCAATATTTGTTGCTCTAGTATTAAAAATTCCATTTAAAAACTATTAATTCGTTTAAAATAATACATTATGTGTAAACATGAGTATAATAACCCAGACTTCAGAGTGGGGAAAAGCTTCCCAGAATAAATTATTTCTACTATTCCAGTGACCTTTGCTTATAAACAGAGGTTGTGTGTAGATTCTAGAAAACCCTGGTTCCACACATACCAGCAATGTGAATCTAATTTCAATCATAATAGTGTTTTTAAAATAGTAGTTTGGGGAGCTGGGACTATAGCTCAGTGGTAGAGCACCTGCCTCGTGAGGTGTGAGGCACTGGGTTCGATCCTCAGCACCACATAAAAATAAATAAATAAAAAGATACTGTGTCCATCTGTAACTAAAAAAAAATTAAAAAAATAGTAGTTTGGGTTTGTTTTTGTTTTCAATTACATTTTTTTTTTTGTATCATGAAACTTTTCTGGTGAGAACAATTAGTGAACTGAATTTCCATGCATTTTATATGGGTTTTCTTAGACTCCTTTAAATATTGCTAAAGGTTTCTTCCTGGATCCAAAAATTGTATATAGCTGTTTCTAGCAGTGTTATTGGGCTCCTGTTTCATTCCTGAATTTATAGTATAGGTGATTATATGCTCCTTACCCTGCTGCACATGACAGTGAGTGCCTGCTGTACCCACAAGCCCTTCACAAGCAGGTGAATATTCCTTATGCCTAAGTCCCATGTCACCCAGCCACCCTGGCCCAAAGACTGCCCAGAGGTCTGTGGGGTGACCTGGCAGGTTGGGTAGCAATGTGTTGTAGACTGGGTTCGGTCGTCAATAAGAGCTTCCCCCAGGAAGATTGAGTATAGAACATATGGGTGTCAGACTAGAGCAGAAGCAAGGAGACTCAGAAGGTAAAAGGAGCAACTGAAGCAGCATTAGTTACTGATAACTGATAATAATTGAGCAGTGGAATTGGGAGCTAAGCACGTTTGTACCTATGATGCCATTCTCTTTCCTGACAGTTGCTGTGGTCTATGAGGCCAGGTTCCTCTTTGTGCTTTTTCTTTTTATATTTGTACAGAATAACTCCTAGTAACAGGTGATCTGGAAACATCTCTCTTTGCAACCTGTATTTTTTTTAAAAAAAATTGTTTTGGCAAGTCACAGAAACACTCAAAGTAACAAGTAAAACGGGAGTCTATAAAGATAGGTGGTAGCTCCTGAAACTCCAGAGCACAATGGACATGGGTCACATAGATACTGCTGGGCTTAGGAAGAGGAATCTAAATAGCCAGCTTCTCTCTGAATAGTTGCTTCATCCTCCTCTCTCTGACCTCTGAAAGGGGTGATCGTGTGGTACTCCTGGCCTAATAGAACACAGCCTTTGTGGTAAATAGAAATACATGAATTTACCAAAATAGAGAATCCTTGGCCAGAGAAGTCACCTCTCTAGCCTAGGAACTCTTTCTGGAAAGTTAAGGAACTATATCAAACTATATTTTGTAAAAATAGCCTCTTCAAGCCCATTCTGTTCAGGAATGTTCTTGTCCCCATACCCTGTAATCTCAAGACTTAGTAGAAATAAAAAGACTTCCTTCTGACAGATTGATGGATCCTTGACCTAAGATGGTTCAAATTGCAGAAATTCTTTAAACTCAAATTTGCTATTTGTAGCAGGCACACCAGTGTTAAATGTAACACTTTGAACTTTTATGACAGATTTTCCTGATGAACATTATTTTGGTTATACCTAATTTTGGACTATGTTTTCATGCTTTATAGTGTATTATTATAGTCCATATCCTAGATCTTGGGTGAGGGAAGACTGAGCAAAATTGAAACATACATGAAGTTTGTTGGGCACATGTCCCACTTCTCCACTATCTAGGGCTCTCTCCAAAGAAATGAAATCTTCCATAGGAACATTTATGGTATGATAAGCAGTAGTGTGAAAGAAATTGTGGATATTGTGGCCTACTTGTAAGGTTATCTCTGACAAAATCTGTTAAAAGAGAGACTACCCGCTCTGAAAAAAAAAATCAAAACAAAGCGATGAATTTTAACTCCAATTCTCCAGCTAGGGATAGGAGGAGGTTGGCCCCCTATAAAACCATTTAGGAAATTATTTTGTATCAGATACCAACTCACTTGGGGATTACTAAGAATGAAAATAAAGAAATTTCTGTGATCTCTGGTTTTATGAACTACTAAAATGTTCTCTTGGCTTTTGTAACCTGGTACTTTTATTGTTTCTAAAATGTTATGCTTAGTAAAGATGTAACTTTTACTCAAAGTGAGGAAAATGGTAATATTTTGGAGTTATGTGACTTGAAAATAGCATAGATCTTGGAGTTAAAATGTGTTCTTAGTTATATTCTGCCAGAAATGCTATTTTTAAAATATGAATTACACAAAGTCATTTCAAACTTTTATTTCATATTTGTTTCCCCCCGCTGATTACAATGTCAACTTTAAAACAATATTAATACAATATCAGCACCCCCACTTTAAGTAAACCAGTTTTACAGAAATTTAGTCTATTGTTGATATATATCCCCTTTTTGAGCCACATCATTAGCAAAAGTTCACAACTACACAAGCCATTTAAAGAAAGCTCAAAACTACCGAAAGCACACTCAAAATTCGAGTTTTTTAAAATACAAATTTAACTATCTATAGTGACAAACATAAGCTTTAATTTACTTCTGAGAATACATTTTCTGAAACCACAAATCTACACCTGACAAATCTATTGACAACAGTTTTTAAAATGACAGTAACAAGCTTATTGTGGTAGCAAGTAAGAGCAGAGGATAGAAGATCAGATTCTTCCATCTGATTTCCAGGGACACAGATTAATTATGTCATACTCTTACAGGACTTAGGCACCCATTGAGTTTAATAAAATCAAGCAAGAAAATGATCTGATGATGATTGCACATCCAGGTGTTAGGGATTTCTGTGTGGTACTTCTACATGTTTTTAGAAAGAGGGCACTGCTTACCAGAAGGAAATCAGTTTCCTTAAAGGAAGAATTTCAGACACTGGCAGGATTGCAGATGTTTTGACAGGGTCCCTTAATGACACCATAAAACATGTCCATTTATTCTTCTGCCTGTGAATAAGGTTAATTCTTCAAAATACTTGTTGAAAATAACTTTGCCCAGTTATTAATCGATGATAGTTGTAAGTAGAACCACAGTCAGTTAAGTGTTGACCCAGTAAAGCAATCATCGGCTCCAGACCCTTACTCAGTATTCACCCCCAAGCATTTGCATGTCAATTGCACAGATTTATAATGAGATAGAGACTAATGGAAAAGGGCAGTCACTCTGTGAAGATTTTTTTTTAAGAAAACTGCTTAAGAGACATTTTATCTCTTTTAGATCTCCTTTTCATACACAAATTACAATTGTAGTTGCTATGTTTATACCACATTATAAACACAAACACAATTTTATGACAATCACATATGAGTGTGAGAAATTCTAAGCATCAGAGAAGCAGTGGAAACAGTGGTTTTTTAAAGTTTGGTCTTGTTTCTTTTGCCTTCCCTCCTGTTCAGCCTCCCTTAACATTCACTGGCATATGCAAAAGCATTTTTCTATACTTAACTGTCTTCATTTTATTTAGACAGGCCAAAGGCATTACTGTTTGTACTCTGAAGAAAATCATGGTTTGTCTCTCATTAATAGGAATCCTTCACTCCTAAGATTCCAACACAATTCACAAACAACAAAAATCTGGACACCATACACCTATTCACAGCTTAGAGTTGGATACACACTTTGGGAGGAAAAACACCATTTTTAATTGAAAAGCTAGACTGTGTCCTCTTCCTTCTTCATGCTGCACCCACTGAACAGGGCCACACTAATTTCAGACACCTGTGTGCTCCCAGTGCCAGGAACTGGGACCCTTCCCATCACAGCCAGATTGTTAAGAGGGGTA